GACAAAAAATCATTGATTGTGAGTGAATGGAATTAACTCTTGCCAAAGGTAACAATACATTCATCTATCGAATAAACAGATGCAATTTCGTTATAAATTAGCCTCAAAAATGTTCGTTTTTGCGTACTCTTCGTCAGATCAATCACAAAGCCAAGAGGCGTTGAGATGCAACCAGTGAAAGTGGATTTGAATGGCGATCTGTGTAAGGCAAACAACCTCTACGAAGAAATGGGAAATAAGTCAGCTACAGGAGGAAAAAAATTGCTGGAAAGTCTAGATTACGACCTCCCTTCGAGTAAAAGGTATGCTGACCCTTTTAACAGAATTAAAATGTTCTCATTTGTTTTCATCAAATTTCAGTGTCAATGATGCCGATTATGAAGACTACGAAGCAATGGCTATTCAGCAATATGATCCCATCCACAAAGCCTTCACGCCGGTCCCCGCATCTGAGTCTTTTGACAATGAGGAGTATGAACCGGTCAGCATGAGAGCACATGACGGTGGTTTAGTCACTCAGACTCCGGAACCCGGTTCCGCATATCTTAACAATGAGGAATATGAAACGGTCTCTGAAACAACAGACTACCGACCACTTCCAGCACCACCAATGGGTTCTAATGCTAAGGCTTTTTTGTAAAATGCAGCAAGTAGTCAGTAAATTTGTCGATTATTCCGGATCGAACTAAAGACCTCACATTCACCGCTTGCCTAAATTCCCTTGGGGCAATGGTACGACGTTGTGACCTTTGTATTCTGGCACACCGCACAAAAATCTACAACATCAACACCGTTCATTCTGCGGAAACATTTCCACATTCACCCCGAAATTGTACTTCCGAATTTGTGAAATGGAGAAGAAACATGGAGAAATACTTAACTTAGTGCTTAGCAGGATTGTTTAAAAAGTAAGCAGTTGAAGTTTTTCGTTTGGACGCGCTCAGATGAAAAAGGTCCACCGCCAGATTTATTAAAATCACATTGCTTCGTATTCTGATGCATGCGAAATTTGAAGTACGTTGTTGCCTTATCACGCTAAGGTATGTATTGCAGAGAGGTGCGCCGCCTAACACGATCGCCCGACTACAATCGTCATCAAAATATGGTCTTCTAATGGTTATAATGAAGGTATAAAAAATGCATAACACAACCATTTTAAAATAAAAAGTGTCGGCAAATTAAACTTATTAAAAGGGATAAGAAATCGAAAAACATCCCTGAGGCGTGTACACTTCTGTATTGTTGGCATTTAGACTACCATAACCATCATCAAACCATCGTCATGGTGAAATCCGAATTTGTGGCAATGTTTGTTGAGCTATAAACTGGAGAAGCACTTCGAACATACAAAGAATAGCTATGTGGTGTTTTGTCGTACGTGTCCAAGTTTTCTCATTCCGCAAACTGCAGAACGAATATCGACCAAATCTAAGACTGGATGCGATGGAGGACAGCAGCCTGACACCAGACACTATCACCTATTTTGTGAGATTGCACGAAGTATCAGTTGAAGTAGTGCACAGTGTAATCGAGCAGGTTTTCTGAGAAACTATTCAATATGGATTGTGGAGTAAATGCTGATGTCATACAGACCACATAAGTCTACAATCTGCATTTATTGCAGAATTCCCAATAGCGACGCTACCAATGCTCAAAAACAAGTCGTGGATACCCGCAACCAACCACTTCTCAGTCCAAAGTCGATAATCTCAAACCATATTTCCTCTTTTTGCCGCCTACAGAGCTATAGGCGCCTTGCGAAATGGAATCTACGCCAAACAAACTTGCTACCTTGCCATGAATAGCAGTAAAACAGTCTATCACAAACCAGGAGGAGGAAAAAAGTGAAGTTCACCCAGTTACATGCACGCACCGCCAACAAAAACTCAACCCTATGCGCTTGACTCGGATATCAAAGCCTGAAATGATTAAAAAAAGAGATTACGAAATAAGTGATCTACGAGCCATGAGCAGTCCGAGCCTCATCCACGTAAAGCCAACAATCCGACTTTTAGTTAAGAAGCTGATGAGTCAAGAATTCCCCAAAACCCAAGGCTGCCATTGTCATGGCAAAGCTATTGACTCAGTAAAATCAGTACAACTTTGAGAAGCTTGCTAGAGAAGTTCACACAAGACACTGGATCACAAGTGTGGACGAACGCAATAAGCTGAGAGCCTCATGACGCCATTAGCGTGAGACAAAAACGCCAAAGTAAGTTAAGTTCACACACTCAGTGGAACTGGAAATAAGCGTAGCAATCCCATTAATATATTATCACCCCCAAATAGGACGATTATAAGCTGAACAAATATATTCATCAAAAAGCGAAATCAATCGCGCCGCAGGGGATAACATATCCGATTAACCCCAGAAGCAGTGATTACGTCGATGACAACGGCATCGCCACAATAGACGTCTCTTTCGGCTGCGCTAATAAACACGTCCCTGGCCAACCGAACTGCGGGACCCTTCTCCATTTGAACACATTCAGCGGTGAGATCAGGGTCGCCAATCTAGCAATCGAGTAGCGAAAAAAAGCAAACCTGACTATCCATAAAAGGCTGTAAAATAGCGCCACTTGTACCACATGCGCGATAGACTTCCCTCGCATAGGATCCAACCGGGTCAAACGAGTAAATGGCACCTTTACCATCCTCATCAATACCAGCCAAAATAGTACTGACATAAAAGGGGAAGAACCGACGCGAATACAGACAAACAGACACCAAATTAGCAAAGGCGGTAAGTGATATATCCTTCTTGTGTTGGTAGCGAAATTCCTACGGAAAAGTAACTAAGAAAATTGAGACGAACCTTAATACGGGATTCCAATAACTTAACTAGCGTAATAACATCTCCATGGAAGCCGGTAAGACACATTCTAACGTTTGGTGTGCTGCAAAAGATAAGCATACTCAGTCCTACATTTCGTATATATGTGGAGAATCACGAGAAAATAGCAGGCCCATGTTTTCATCAGTTAGCCGCGTATCGGATGCAACGAGAGCAAAGTCCTTGCCGGATATACCAAGTGCAGTACTACATTAAAGGTCGACATATAAGTAAAGTGCAGTACCCGCCATTCAGTGTGTAGGGATTGAATTCCATTGCCCGACTTTCAGCGCTTGCACCAGCGAACCCGCCAGCAAATTAACCAATGGGAGAAGACCTTAGTCATTAAACATTGTGACTAGCATGTATAGGATCAAGCAAAATTTTATTATAAACACTGCTATTGTAACGAAGCGAAAAAATTAATTTTATTTTTTTTTTCAGACATTCAAACTCAATATGTGGAAGGTAGATAACATGGAGTAGGCAATTTTTTATCCCCAGCCGCCACAAAGAATATGGTGCAGTGAGGACAAGCTCCCAAGTTAGCTTAGATAACCACTGACAAGCAGCTTGTGCAATTTTTGCCTGTGTAACCACCTGTGTGTGTTTACCTTGCTTTTGTACGTGTGAGTTAGCCTTCGTATTACGATAAAGGTCAGCCCATTCCCTACGGATTGGATGCATACTTCGATTTAGTGTTAAACACCCGGACTTAATAGTCTAAAGCTAGGATCAGAGCTATAATGACTTCAATATGGAAAAGCAGACGGGAGGTGGTCGTTGCCAATGTAGCATCCCAAGACTTCTCACAGGAGTGAAAATTGAAACAAGAAGAACAAAGTAAGCAAACGTAAGCTCAACGTCTGATATCAAGTGGTCAGATAAACAAAGTGTTACAGTCAAGCCCATAAGCCATTTTGATTTTACCCAGTGTGAAAAATTTAAATGATTTTGTAATATATACTAGTATGTTTAAGTTGGCCTTAGAAAGAAGGAGGCGAAAATCGAATTTGAGCGCAAAACCAGAGCATGAGGATCGTGATAAATCCCTTTCCGCGCATAATATCTGACCTCCAGCTCATCTGTACTCCTATCCACGTTATTCCTGTAAGCAATGTCTAATAACTCC